TAAAAATCTAAATATGATTTCTATAAATAAACAAAATGATGATGGTAATAATGATGATAATATTTATGGATAATGTATGTATCTCAATTATAGTAAATTGCAATAATTATAGAGATAGTAAAACTTTAATGGTTTTAATTAAATTAATCAATAAATATTGTGAAAACAGAGAAGTGTGATTTCTTCAATGAACGAAACGATAAATGCATTATAAATAATTATAATGTGTTGAAGAACAAAGAAGAAAACAAGGATAATGATGATTTGAGATTGGATTTTTATTTGCACATCAGACGAGAATTGATTGTTCAATCTTGCACAAATGATTGTATCCACTTTATGGTTGTTTAAAATGCAAGAGACGAGAGTTTCATTTCATGTCGGGGAGTTTTATTTAAAAAGTGCACATGTAATTACACGAAAATAAAAATAAACGAAAAATATAAAAAATAATTGATGTAATTGGAAATGGAGTGGACGGAAAACGCGAATAAATGAATCGAGTGTGTCGATAAGGTAAAATAAAACATTGTTTAATGGCGTCCAATGAGAGATTGGAAGGCTTATCGTCCTCAAGGATAATTATTAATAATTATCCTGCAGCGCCACTTCTTGTAATCTAAATGGGCACGCATTAACATAACAGTTTCTCTCCCTCGGACGTCGAAGCCAATAAATGATAATCGAGTTCGTTAATGCGAAACTCAGAAGTATCGAATTCAATTTGCCAATTCCACGTGGAAGAGGATGAAAGAAGGATTGGAGAAGAAGGAGTTTGGTTGGGTTGGGTATTGAACGATTTTGACGGGATTAGCGTCAGACGGATGGACAAAAGGTGTGTAACCATTCACCGGTGCCGATTGATTTCACGCCCGGAGCCACCCTTTCGTCGCACCCCGAAACTGTTCAAACAAACACACAAAGCGATTCAAATTTAATAACACAACAAACACATTCTCCGATCTTTTTTTTGTTGTATAATTGATGTTTTAATTGCTCATATAATTTGATTTGAAGCTGTATCTTGTCGGTGGCAATCGAAATCCCAACAACCATAACCGAAAACAATAATCCCTCTACATTACGAAGTAAATTAGAATTATTACAGAGTGTATTGTATTTTAGATTATTTCTTACTATTAAGTAAAATACTGTCGGGATTTTGATATTGTCGCAATTACGATTGTCGGGATTATGATTCTGTATATTGGATGGTTTCTTGAAGATGCTTTAGAGAAGCCGTCGGAAAAGGGAGGGTTTGGATTTATGCGGATGTTCGCGAGACATAAGGTCGTCGAAATCCAACAAACTTGAGCCACTTTCCTGGGGTGCTTTTCAATGCTGCTCACGTTTCCTCTTCGCGCGCGCAACTCTCAATCTTCCCTTAAAAAAAGGATGTTTCCCACCTATCGATTCTCTGAGATTTTGATGATTTTATCTATTTTATATTAACTAAAATCGTCTCATTTATTTACGAGCGTTGAATAAAAACAAGAAAGTTTTATTTCATTTTTTGTTGTTGTTGTGTGGGTTTGGATTTGCCGCCACCAATGCCGCCCCCTCATCGTAATGGGGCAATTACATTATGAGTGGTTTGCGTGCCGCACGAGGCGACCATAGTGTTAGTATTTGATCATTATGTACTTTTTTACAATTGTATTATTGTGTGCAGCCCCACGGAGAGATCAACCCTTGATAAATTGCCCCGTTGTTGCTGCTGCCGTGCACAGATTTTACTGCCAATGACGCACTTATATTATTGTAGTATATTGCGGACGGCGGCCGGCGTTTCTCGTCGTTATTTCGTATTCACGAAACGAACGGAAAAATAAAATAGGGCAAAGAACAATTGTATGCCAATCATCCACTAAACGTCCAGTAAATAATAATGAAACAATAATAACTGCGAAAAGTTAAATATGTATCGTTTCCAAGAACTAAACTGATTTCGTGTTTGGGTAAACAGTCTTACAAACTTTTTTGTTATTTATTAAAACCAAATCAATCTCAATCTGCATACATAAGTACACATTAAAACCACGTGATTTTTTTTTTCAATTTAAAAATATACAAGAATTTTTAGTATTTAATTACAATTTTTTTATTATGTCAAAGTTATTATACTTAGTTTATGATACTGCTACTTTTCTATGAAATTAATGTAAAGTAAAGCTAATTTTGAAGAAAATTTGATATGAAAACGCTAAAGAATGTGTATTTTCATATGGAAAGACCAAAAACGTTCAGTTTTTACTTTTTATTTAATAAACTCATAACAATAGTAAACTTAAAGATACATTTTAAAAGAAAACATACATTCTTGGTATATGGTTTATGTTTAAAAGGAAAATAATTGTTTCATTTGTTGAAACTCTGAATCTTTTGAAAAATTAGGTTAAAGAAAACTTTTCTTATATAATTTCATGGATTTAATAATTAAAAAATTTTATTTAAAATCTGCAAATAAATTATTGTTATAATAATAAAGTTTATTGTACAATTCAAATAATAACAAAGGTTTGTTGACTAAACCGGACTAATCGAGGAGTTTACAATTGAACAAAAGAGACTTCACTAGCATAGAGTAAAAAAAACTACGATTCATATATTAAAAAACCGGTCTATAATGAATCCGCACTGATTGAAGTCAAAATATGCTAGGTATTGCTGTAATATGTTTAATATATTTAAAATAAAATTTAATATCGTTTTGGATGAATAGAAAAGAGTACATGGTTCGATGAATTTGAGTGGGTTGATGTAAATTTGTAAGATATGAATGAGAGTTATGCAATGAGGAATGTTTGATGATAATATGAAGTAATTGTAAGTGGTGTTAAAGGGGTTTATGCATGATAATCGGTTTTGTAAAATGTGTTATTGATTGCGCGGTGTGTGCTAATTCGTCTGTGTTTATTTGTGTGTGTTGTTGCTGAAAAGGGCTTTTCGCGTTTTGTCTGCCAGAGAGAAAGAGAGGGAGATAGATGTTGAGAGTGAGGGAGAGATCGCATTGATCCCCGCCATAGCCATTGTTTCAGGCGTCCCGACGGCGTCGCGACGCTCTCGGGGTGGGGGCTCCGGCGTGACGGATAAACGACGGCACACCGGAAGCTGGAACCAATCAGGGAGCGCGAGTTTAGGGGATGAGGCGTCGCGATGACCGAAGACGACGCCGCCCCCAATGTTCTAAGCCCGCGCACCTCCGCCTCCAATTCATCTATCTAACTATCACACTCAACAAAACGGCATTAATTGCAAGTTAAAGCGATTTGCATCATACCATAATGAAGGTGTTAACTTACGGTTAGTTAATTTATTGCTGAGTTTGCGAGAGTTATTTGCCAAATGGACGACGACACGAGAATCGCGACCGTCTTCTTCCGCCCACAGCTTTTAACAATCGTATTATTACCTGGTTTTGTGTTCGAGATCCGCGACCATTAATCACACACATCTTTCTCAACTCTTCTTCGCCTCACACTACTACTACTACTACTACTAATTGCCATTTACATTTTGGCCCGTCCCTGAATGTATTCATCATCATTCCTCCAACTCGTGCAACGATTCCACAATTCTACGTATATTTAAATCGATACTTCTTCATCCAAACCATGCTTAGAACTACAACCATAAATTCCGCAACTTTTGACCTATTGCTTTTCAGATAGAATCAAGATGGTAAATGACAACATCGAAAAACTTTAAAAACTCAAATATAACTTATTTACTATAAACATACGTAGCTTAAAGAAATTTTATATTCTTATTTATTTGTATAGTTTTAAAACTCCAATATTTCTTGCTATAAATAATTTATATTCATTTAAATTTCTTCTTGAGAAACACGAAATGTGTTGAGAAATCTATATTACTTGGAAATAAAGCAATCAAATTAATACACTTATTATAATTAATCCAAATGATTTTGTAATAAACTAGTACCAAATTAAGTCAATAATTTGCAACAACTTTCATGAATTCCAAGAATTTAATGGAATTCAGGTCCATTATAAAATAATTTATGGACTTAAGAAACTATGTTTTTTTTTATATTGAATTGTATAATTGTAAAAATGATACAAATATAGCATATTATAATTTTAATATATTTGATACTAATTTTAGTTATAAAGACTACTATAATTTCGTAATAATAATTATTTAACTTCAACAAATAAATTGAGGAATGAAGTAAGAAGAATTGTAGAAAGGTTTGCCATATGTTTTGTATTATAGTTGGAGTGGAGTTAAGTGATGTTGGGTAGGAGGCGATTTGCAAAGCGCTTGAGATTGCCAAGGGCAATTAATTTAATGGTAATCCGGAATTGTTTATTAGTGTATTAGATTCAGTTGGTAAATTGCATTTTGGCATCGAGTAGTAAATTGGCTGCAATTTCGTGGATAAAAGCTTTGCATTAATAATGAAGCGTCCGTTGACGTATTAATTATAGCGAATTGTTTATTCGCTAATACTAGTTGCTGAAGAGTTTAGAGAAGACACGATGTTTGAGAGTTTAAAGTTCAAAGTTCGCTGATGTACTGTGTGTGTTTTGAGAGGAGTGAGAAGAGAACGTTCATCGATCCTCCAACATTTATGTGTGCGTTTGTATTTGTATATGTGTGTGTTTGTGTAGATCGCCTACATCAAACAGAAAATCTCTCGGTGGTCCCCATCATATACCACACAGATACGTCGCTTATCTCGCCCAACCTAACCATCGACCATGTACTCCTCTCTCGAAATCCATTTAAAATTAAACCCGTGTTCGCGAGATAAAACCGTACGGATCGGTATAATATTGTGTAATTTCCCCTCACAATCTTAATGCCTTTTGTTATATGAAAGTATTTATTTAAATTAAGTATTTCGCATCGAGAGCTGTTAAGGTCGGCCCACGCGCTGCAACCGCCCACGCGCCGCCTCTAAAGATCTTGCGAGAATGAAACTGAAAATGAAAAACACTTAGCATCTTCGTCTTCTTTGCGTTGTTTTGTAGGTCAGAACGGCGACGACTCCCTGAATTCCTCCAAGGGCTCCGGCGGCGGCATCAGCAAAAAGCAGAGGAAGGCACGCACCGCCTTCACCGATCTCCAGCTTCAAACCTTAGAAAAGAGCTTCGAACGACAGAAGTACCTCAGCGTCCAGGACAGGATGGAACTCGCAGCCAAACTCAGCCTCACAGATACGCAAGTGAAGACGTGGTACCAAAACAGAAGGTAATTTTCACAATTTTTTTTCTAATCAATCAATATTACAAATTGTCGATACAAATATTTTTCATGGAATTTTTATTAGTTACGTTTTTTCATTAATTTCACACTTTGTCTATAATTGCTTATGTAATTGTATAATTAGTGCAATAAAAATTATAATTATTTCAAACGCAATCAACGTAAATATAACAGTTTTCAAACTTTATTGATTAAAACATCTCAAAGTGTACAATTTTTAATTACAAGTTTTCACAAATCTCTCTTTCAAATCATCATCATTAATTTTTTATTTCACACTTTTGCGTATAATTATTTCAACAATTATTGCAATTAAAATTATAATAATTTTATTGATGGAAAATAAAAATTTAATTTAAATATTTAATTTTTTTTAATTTCACACTTTGTCTATAATTGCTTATGTAATTGATTAATTGTTGCAATGAAACTATAATTATAAAGTAAAAATAACAGTATCAAAGTTTATATTTATTAAACAAAAAATAATATTTTCAAGCCTAAAGTCGCAATTTTTCTCAAATCATGTTTTGTATATTGATTTTCTCTATCATATTGTCATTAGTTACGGGTAATAAAGTTCAGGTAATTAGATGTTCGTTGAAGCTTTCTTTAATCCATGCTTTTGAATTTTCGTGGTACGCTTGGAAATACTGGATCAAATTGCGTTTATTCATAACAATCGTTTTACGTTTCCGTTTGTTATATTCGTTATGTTTCTCGAATGCTCGTAATGAGAAATTAGTTCGCCTTGGGTAAATTGCTTAATTGCCCTTTATCTCCACCTCACATCTAACTGAGACCCTTTTTCTTATTTCTCCACGAACGAAAGAATTAATTACTCAACGCTTACACCAATTACAATAAAAAAAAACACGGAAAGCTTCGTTCAAAGCTTTGATACAAACATTCGTTGAAAAAATATTAGTCTCAATGTCAATGTTAATAAATACAGAAAAAACATTCAAATTGCAATAACTCATGTGTTTTTTCTAATATTTCACACTTTGTCTATAATTGTTTATGTAAATATAAAATTATTGCAATAAATATTATTAATATTATTATTAAAATTTTTGCAATCAGTTTCAAATAAATAATTAAAATTTTAATTACTTACATAAAAAACAACGATTTCAAAGTCTGTTTATTGAATAATTCAAATATCATAAAGAATATTCAAATAAATTATTATAAATCAAAGTTTTTTTTTCTTTTAAATTATCTATAATTATTTTGTTGTCTTTATATATTTGCACAATTTATTTCTTATTTAAAAAGTTAAAAAAAAAAATCAAATTGTATCAAATATTTTCAACATATTCAACAAGATTTAAAGAAATTTTGAAAATATATTAAGAAATTTGTCTTTAAAACAACACTAATTAAAAGTAAACTCAATTAGGAATTTTCAAGTATATTTTTAAAAATTTGTATTTAATTTTTTTTACTATATTCAAAAGAGTTCCGTAAATTTCTTGATATTTTATGCACAAAATTTTGAAAAAACTCTTAAATTATGATGTTACGATGTAATATTTAGGATATTATTCATTATTTTATACTTTATGCCTCATTAGGAGTTTGTTTTATTCTTCAATTTTGTCCAAACTTTGCGAGGTTATTCATCCACAGATTGAAAACTTCCTGTTTTTGAAGACACGCAAATCTCTCATTTTCCACTTTTAATGAATCACTAATAATTTTATCAACGTTTTTCTAATTAATCTATCAATTTGAAACGTCAATAATTTGACATATCTATAATTAAATAAATTAGAAATTTATAAAAAATTGCAGAAATAATAGATTTTATATTTGTATCGGTTTTATTTTTTTGGTAACGGTTATGTAAAATGTGCAATGCAATTATGTCGGAGCGGCGGTGTCATCAGGCTAAATTATCTATAAACTTACTGCAGTAGGATGTGGCAAATTAACAATTTGCATGTGTAATGTTTAAATCTAATTAAAACGTAATTGAACGCAACTGCTGGTAGATAATGCAATTGCCAGTCAAACACAAGCCTGCATGCATACAACCAACGTGGTACGATCGTCTTGCTGCCGACACCGCCGCCTCTCCGCGCTCGAATTATCGCCGCCACACGAGGATGCGTTTGATTATCCACGTCGCATTGCACAATGCACAGCTTCGATTAATAATCTTCATGGAAAATCCATCTTCTGATTAGCAATAAACAAATAGGGAAAATTGCTACGAAGATTGTGTCGAGTTCATCCATCAATCCTCTGTGTCCTCTCTTGGATTAACGGCAATCCGCTGCGCCAAATTGCTTTTTGATTAGATCAACTTGAGTGAAACAAGAAGAAAATAACTTACAAACTTCTTTTTGTTTCATTTCAAAATTTTGAAATATAATCAGTTTACTTTTTAAATTGTTTTTCTAAATCAGCGGCCCGCGGGTCGCATTTGGCCCCAAAAACAATTTTACACGGCCCGCAAATATATATTTGTTTTAGAGATATATAGATTTGAATGATTTTATATTTAGTTTGAAGACTAAAAGTATATTGAATTTTTGATGATGAGTATGTAATTTAAGGAAAGGAAACAAACAATAAAAGAAAATAAATTTGCAGAAATAAAATGCGGAGGTGAGAGAAAGGTATTAGTGTTAGTAGTAGTGTTGAGTCCTTGGGGGGTTCGCGTGTTCTTCGGCCATCCAAGTCACTCACTATGCGCCAGTCCGCTGCGGCACAATTGAAAGCGGCCGTCGGAAGTGTTTAGAGTCGCCTTATCTCCGATAAATAATGTATGCTAAACTACCCTCTACCCCTTTAAGTGCTGGCAAATTACTCGGGGAAAAGTCTTCAACTCGGTGCGTCAACGCGACAACCGTCGCCCACCTTCAACCGCCCCAACATTCGCATTCCAATTTAATTAACGAAACTGATTAATCTAAAACGTTCAACAAATTCACAACTTAATTCCTTTTAATTTATATACACTTTTTCATCCTGATTCGACTTCCGTCTTTTTAACGAATCTATAATCCAATTAAACCTAAATAAACGCAATTGATTTAATTCATTCAGTCAATGCCTTTTATTGAAAGCACACTTTCCAAACTATATTCCAATTAATGGTTTTACATCAAAAAAAAAACTATATATATATAAGCAATTTGTACTAATAATTTTATATAATAGCAACTTTCAATTTTACATCACTTTTAACCATTTCAATTTTCAAGTTATAATGACGTTTTTGTAATATAATTTAAAATTATCAAAAATGAAATATTAATAGTAAATTGTAATTTGCTCTAATTAATTAAAATTATTAATGATTTATTACATTCCCACTTGTAAATTGGATAAATAATTCTACGTTATCAATGATAATACTTGTTTTCATTCAAGAGTAAACTTTAATCATTATTTCATTCATATCTTTAAAATTATAGTAAATTATAATAACGACTCTAATTTTTATATTTACAAGTTATCAAAGACAATTATTCCATTGTTAATTTATCAAATATATTGAAAAAAATTAATTGAAATTTATTTATTTACAAACTTTTCTTGTCTCTAATTAAAAAAAAAATAGTGCAGATCATTGAAGTAATAAATAAAATTTAATTGACTAAAAAAAACCAGATGTACTAAAATACAGTTGGAAACAATAAAATTTGATTGGCTATTTACTTGTGGGTTGTTGATTAGTTTAGTTGTAAATAATGGTAGAATTGAGCTTCTGGATTGGAACAAACTGCGATCACGGTCATAACGTGTCATTCGTTATTGGGTCCCACGTAACGAAGAAATTAGTTCTGGCCGGGTAAACGGCTTAATTGGTCGTTATCGGAGCCGCATCTTTCTGCGTGCGTTTATAACGATTTCATTAACATCGAGCGCGATTAGGACGGAAACGACAAAAGAGGGGTGTGAGTGAGAGAGAGAGAACTGCAAAAAGTACGTTAGTCGTCTACAATAATAATCATAATAAATTCCGTGGAGGGCGAAAAAAAAATTGTACAAGAGAAATAAAAATAATACGCAGTGTAATAACAAATGCTTGCCGGTTTATATTGTGGATGTGATTTACGGGGTCGTGCATTAGGGAGGGCGGCACTTGTATTAAATACCCATTTGCATATAACGGGGTGTTATTGTGTCACGTCCATGAATTATACTCATTTTTTTTTCTTTGTCTGTTCTTTTCTTGTGTAGTGTGTGTATGTTGTTGTTGTCTGTTCTTTGGTTGTTGTCACCGGGTCACGGGTCCTCCTCTTGCGGTCGAACTCCACGCATCTCTAACTCTCTAATTTTAGGGGACGCACTCTGAAAATGGGGCAATTAACCACACACTCGACATAAATCTTTCATGCTAATTTGTCATTCTACAGATTCTACTTTACACCTCTCACCTCACGACTTTCTTTCTCACCTCCTGCTGAATTTGAATTTTAAACCCTCTTTTCACCACCTTTTTTTTGCATAAACGTAATCCATATATTATATAAAGTTACATCGTTTGATAATTATAATCATAATCTAAGATTTTTTTTTCAATTTACATTTCAGAAATTTTAATGAAATTAACATTTTAATGAAAATAATAATACAGGTTCCAATAAGTTGTTCGTAAGTCGGGGGAATTTTAAAAATTTCAAAGTATACCTGGACAATTATTTTTTTTTGGACAGTTATTTTTTTATCACTATATATCTCCTTGTAACAAGTTAAAGCTTTTAGAATTTTGTTCGTAAGTCCGGGAGTTCGTAAGCCAGGGGATTACAGGTATTAGATAAAGAAAAATCACATTGAACAAAGAATCAAATCGTTTAATAAATCAATTAATATAAAATTGACATTAATAACCAAAAACTATAATAATTTTCTATTTTATAGTAATTTATATTTTTGTAAACTTAACTTCTATATAATAATTACTTTTAGTTCATATTAACTAAGTTTGATAATTGCTACATTTTTAAGAAATTATTAAAAATATA